AACTTGTATTATACAAACAAATGCTCCAGCCAATCTGGACATATGGAATACAGCTATGGGGTTGCGCAAGCAGAACACAAATTTCCATCATCCAAAGATTCCAAAATTTCATGCTACGGAGTGTAACAAACGCGCCATGGTACGTGAGAAATTCTGATTTACATCGTGACCTTGGAGTGACAACAGTACAGGAAGAAATTCATACCAAAGCCAAATCACACCATGATAGACTTAGTTGTCACATAAATGCTGAGGCGCTTTTACTAGCGACAACTGAGCCAATACGCCGTCTAAAGCGCCAAAAGTCGTGCGATCTTTGGGCTTAAATCATTGAAATGTACTACAATTAATTTATTATTGAGTGGAATCGCCTAATCTGTTTAAATTTAAATTGTTTGTTAGTCATCTAATAACTAGTTGCTTTGTGTCTTGTTTTGTTTTATTTATTGTTCTTTAATATCATATATAATAAAACAATTTATAAACAAAAAAATGTGATCAGAGTATGATTTGCAAAGAACATGTGAGAAGCTTATGTATCTAAGTAACTGAAATGAACAGATACAGAAATCAACAGCAGTTGACCCATTTGGTCCCACATATGTAAATTCCCCATTTTCATCACCTCGACACCTGTTGTTAATTATAACACCACCGATGTCCTCCAGAAAACCTAGACGTTTTCTTCCCTTGATGCCAAGCTTCAAATCTTTTGATGCTCTTCTTATCGCAATAAATTTGGGAATCGGATAATAATTTACCATCAACTACTTGATTATCTACTACATGGGCATTTAAGTCGCCAACAATACAGTAAACGGGTTTATTAAAATACCATAGTTTAAAAATTGTTCCAGTGTAGAAAAATCTTCCTCCCATTTTGTGCAATTTAAATAAAGGGGAATGAAGAAACAGTCAACTTTGTTCGCACAAGAATATAGTACAACATTATCACCAAAGTTTAGAAATTTAAGAGAATATATCTTCTCTAAACAAATAAGTAAGGTTATTTTGGTTTTCGACCAGTACATGTGTTTCAATTAGAAAAAATATGTCATATAAGTTAAAAAAAGTGAAAAAATTCTTATGATTAAATTAATTTTTAACGTAGCTAATTTTTAAATTAGCACCTGACACACTGACAATTGCTAATTAGAATTCACGGGCAAGGCAACATCCCCTGCAGTGTAGTCCATGGTATTTCTTGCTGGATTGACATCCATTAGCTGACGATTACTTATATTTTGTTTGACATCGCACTGGAACCTTGTTGTAGTAAGAAAGTTATTAATCATTTTCGCATCTCCTTTTGTAACAGCAATAATTTTGTTTTCTCGCCAAGTGAAAGATTTGTCGTTAATAAAAAGCGAGTAATCACCTAATCGAACTTTAACACCAGGATGCAGTCTTCTAAGCTCATTAGCTAATGCGTGCAGATTCTGTTTTCTGGACTTTTCATCCACTGTGAGATCTCTATTTATGTGAATATTTGTACCTTTTAATTTCGTCACAGTGGATAATATCTGTCTAGCCTGCGATTCTGACCCAAGTGTTGCAATAAAAATGCCATTACCCGGCAGTTTTTACAGTGCACACCGATACATTTGCTTTCAGCAAATTGAGAGTGACAGAAAAAACAATTTGGCCGTTGACACTCCGGCATGAGAGCCGGCGTATTTGTGCCTCGGCACTAAGGCAAAGCAGTATTGTTTAATATTAAATTTTAAATTTGGAGAAAAAATAACAGTAAGTAAGACAGCCTATTTTATAAACCGCTAATAATCTAATTATTATACCTTACGATTTTAAGGAAAGGCACATAATTTTGTACATACTGTTAACAATTATTATAAGATAATATGATATTATTTAAAGCTTATTTAAATTTTTTCTTACTCGTTATTTTGGTGGCAAATTGAGTGTAAGCATATTTAAATTTCCTTTTAAATGTAGACACAAACAAATGTACCAAACCATTGTAAAAATACTAAATTGGCAATACTGATGTGACAGTCTACATAACATGCATTTTCGGCATAGCCTGAAAGAGCCAATTTTGCCGTGCACGAGACGCTCTACATAACATGGCCCTAGTGCATAATAATTTTTTTCTAAGCAACCCTTAATTCAATCTTAATATACCTTATGATGAAAAAAGAACGAGAATTTAAAAAAAAGCAATATTTTAATTTTTAATAATTTTCTTTATTATCGCCTTCAAAGTACTCTCCTCCTGCGGCAATACATGCATGCCAATGCTTGATCTAACTTTCCATACAAGTTTTATAGGCCGCCGAAGATATGACCTTTAGTTCACGCAGCGAATTCTCTTTTATGGCCTTTATGGTCTCAAAACGCGTTCCTCGCAATGGCAATTTGATTCAGGGGAAGAGGAAAAAGTCATACGGGGCCACATCTGGAGAGTACGGTGCTTGGGTGATGATATTAGTGGAGTTTTTGGCCAAAAACTGCGACACAACCAATGCTGTGTGAGCCGATGCGTTAACGTGGTGTAAAATCCGTGAGTTTTCCTTTCATAAATCTGGCCTCTTTTTGCGAATGGCCTCACGCAAACGACGCATAACGGCCAAATAATACTCCTTATTGACCGTTTGATCGTCCGGAAGGAATTCATAGTTCACCACACCACGAATATTGAAGAAAGCAGTCAGCATAACCTTGATTTTGGAACGACTTTGGCGTTCTCTTTTCGGTTTCGGCTCACCTTCGAAGCACTATTCGGTCAATGGTTTTTGGTGGGCATGCAAAATTCATAGACCCATGTTTGATCACCAGTTATGATGCGTTCGATGAATGTTGACCCCACATTCATCACAACGACGCTGTTTTTGAATGAAATTCAGCTAAAAATCGCCACACGAAAATTGTTCGACTTCTTTGCATAGACGCCAAACAAAAACTAATCGTACGATATGCGTTAAACTCCGACAGAATGTGTATAATAGTGTTGCCAGCGTGAAAATAAAAAAAATTTACCGATTGAATGAGCGCGGGAATTTAAAAATAAAATCGTTCTTTTTTGAGCACAAGGTATATGTATAATGCAATAAAGTTATTTCGAAAGAAATCCAAACCAAATATAGGCATTTACAATGCTAACAACAATGAAAATAACACAACACAAAAGAAGTACAAACACAAAACAAAAATAAAACAAACAAATTTTATGTTCAACAAACAACAGCGGTCACGTAAAATTCATACAAAGTTGTACGAATGCTAACTGCTCAATATAGTAATTATTACCTTTGTAGAGATATATTTATTTAAAAGCTTGTGATTTGATTATTATTAATAAACACTTGTTTACACAATGGCTGCCGGCTCTAATGTTGATACGTCGCTTTTCACTTTTCTCTACATACTCAACGTTTTTCTGTTGATAGCTGATTGTCTGTCTAGTGAAGACAGACAATCAGCGTCACACCTTCACTAGAGTATATTCATTTATTTATACTACTCAAGTATGTAATGAGTACTTCTGACTATACTTTACTCCTCTCAATAAATTGTTCGCACTCTTGTGACGTTAATTCGTTAGCACCAGCACTTAAAATCTTCTTATTTGGCGCTACAGTCCAAGGTGAACCTTGGCCTCCTTCACAACCAGCCTCCATCTGTTTTGATGATCTGCAGTTCTTTTCCAATTTAGAACTCCTAGCTTTCTAGCGTTCTCGTACACGTTTTCCTTTCATCTCAGATTCGGTCTGCATTTGTACTCTGTTGTCACCGGATTGACATTAAATATATTTAGCGAGTTATTTTCAGGTCCCATTCTCACAACGT